ATTTATATAGTCGATAATTTACATTTTAATACAATTTAAGATCACTCATGATTTTCACTTCTTTATCATTCAATAGGCTTTAATTTTACGCATTAATTTGATCTATACAGAAAGGTTGCGAATAAAAAAAGTTCATGCCATTGATTTTGTTATGCTAAACGTTGATTTATATTGTGTTATGAAGAATCATCATCTTTGTAAAATGAATAAAATATATAAAATGAAACGTTTTCAAGCTGAATTAAAAAGTTTCATAACACTCAATAGCTTGTTGGATTTATCATCGGCGTTACTTTTGGAATTTCTAAAAAGTATTTCGTGTGCATTTTCAAGATAACAAATTATATTCCAAATAATGAAGAGCTCATGTAAGTCACTGTTAATACATTTTATTTCGTGGGACAAAATTAATGGTCTCCTAACCCATGCTTGAATGAGAACATTTCGTTTTTAGTTGCAGATCGCAATTCTCGGGTAAAATATGTTTGGGTGTGGTTATTTAACGACTTTGCAAGCAGTGTTGTCCTTAAAGAAGAATAATATCGAGTGATTATAAGTCATCCGCTAAAAGGTCGCTTCGTACAATCAGTCAGAGATGTTATATTTCCGATGCTTGACCATCGTTTATATCAGCATTATTGAAAAGTAAAAGCAGTTGTAAATTTGTTGGGTTTTTTTCAGCTCCTTTTATTTAGCCATTTCCCTTTCAAATGAGAATGAAATATATGAACGGACCAAAGTGGATGTATTTGATAATTGGATAAAAAATTCATGAACACCTTCATCACAGTTTAATATGTGGAGTTTGAATTAAGACTGAGTGCTAAGCTTAATTGTAATAACAAACGAACCATAAATTGCAAATGTTCCATTAGTAGTTCTGTGATTGGTTAAGGATTAAATTCTGCTTCAGATGCCAATTCTTAAAACTAACAAGCCGTCCCGATCAGTGAAGATGTGGATCCATTCAATCCTCAAGAACGCCAGCACCAGCGCAATTTAACAATTGACGAGAGTTAGTTAACTGTCACGTGAGATTTTCCTTTTTTCTCAATCACGTGTAAGCGTTTTCGGGAATTCACTTGTTGGAAGATGTGAAGGGGCTGCAACAGTTATCCAGCATTACATAGCCGTAAAATAGCGGGAATTATATCAAGCGATCAGCCAGGTAGAAAAGTATCGTCCTTTCTAATTAATTTAACAAGTACCTGCCAGCAGACGATTTTCTAATAAAAATAACACAAACTATTTCAATGCTGATTTTTTTATATTTAATAATTCCGAAATATATTTTTATATAAGAGTATCGATATAAATTATTTTCTACATATTGGTATGAACTAGACCAAACTTTTTCATTAATTTTTAATAAAGTAATTATTCATTTAAAGATAAATATAGTTCGATGAGAAAAATGACACTCATGTGATCAATTATGAGACAGGTTGTCTACAATTTATGATAGAACATTTTACTTGAATCCAGAATCGCAGGCCAAATTGAATTCTAATATGGTGCATTGTACCTTTATGACATTTTAAATTGCTACATTTACATTTTATACGAACACTTATTAAATATACACATTGCTGCTCGTAAATGTATTCAGTGCTGATTGTAATGAAGAAATTCTAACACAAATACCAATATTCTTACTTTGAACAACACAAATAGAATGTTACAATTACAGCAGTTGCATATTTCTAAGAATTTAAAGGGAAAAAAAGAAAATGAAATATATAAGATTACAAAAATATTACCTTTAGTCACGGAAAAATCGTAAGAAACCATTCGCATACAGTACGAATTGCTTCAACCTGATATCATTTCACTCATGTCCACAAACTTTATTTGAAGTGTTTCATATATTACTTCTATACAAATGTACATTGTTTCAAGTTATCTTTAATAAAAGTAAAACTTAATTTCTTATGTGTTTGTTCCATAAATATCTCAAAGACCTTCTTTTTAAACGTAGTTACATTTGCAATGAAGTGGTTTTTTTTATAGAAATGGTATAAAATAAGCGTGATATGTTAAAGATATTTATGTATATATAAAAGAGATTATTAAAAATAGAGAAAAACATAGCCATAACAATATCTCAATGAACTTCTGTCATGTGTAGATAACATTTTGGAAATAAGTATTGTTACCTTTATTGGAAAGGTATATGCGAAGCGTTATATATTAAAGATATATACACACTGTTATTATAAATATAAGCAGTATCATGTTAAAAGTATTAAGTTATAATGATAGCAATATTATCAAACGCAAATAAGCAGCAATTTCAGTCTTTGAAAGATTTTATAGTTTATGTTCACCAAATGAAACTAAAACTTTTCATGGACCGTTCGCAAGAGTATCATAAGAAGTCCTGTCTTCTCTTGTATTGGTTTCCAGTGAATAGTAATCAGATTCGCTATACTGTTCAGCTGGATTTCCATCATTTCTACGAGTCACTTCTGAGCCGAATGCTTCATTCACATACGTTGGACTAATGTGTCTGCTCCTTAAAAAGAAAACAATTCCGTTTAACACTTGATCTACATTTCAGTCTGTAAGTAACAAGTTATCATGTGTTGTTTACTTTGTTTTGTCAATTTTAAATAAGATGTATAAAATATTCAAACAATAATTATACTTCTCGTATTTCTCTGAGCTTAGACAAAATGTTACATTAATTATGCCTTGTATTTTTCATTGAGTTAAAATAGATTTGGTTAAACTGCATAATTTTACAACTCACTTGTCGTTTGAATTAGTCTTTTGCCCATCTGAAAACACAAATTATATATCAAACGACTCAATATATGAAAACAAATCAACACTTTCATATTTCAAAATAAAGGTCTTAAGCTTAGACTAAAAATATGGATATGTCATTGCACTTTGCTGTGATGAGGTGTTATATACACTTACGACGTTATAAGAAGTATTAACGGAAAACATAAAGCGCATTTTAAATAACTGATTCTTTCAGACAGATAATGTCAATCATTTAAAGATGGTGATCACGTCGATATATTACTAAAATGATAGATGTACAACTGATAAAATACCATTTTTTTACGAAGGAAAAAGACATAAGTCATATATACAGAAATCTAATTATTTTGTTAAGAGCAACACATTTATTTCAATATATTTGTGATAGCTACAGAGATTAGTTATTGACAATGCAATATTTCATTTTGAAATGTAATGCACTTAATTCTTAATACACACGAGGGTTTAAATATACCTTTTGTTCGAATTCGTCGTAAAGTGATGGTTATATACCCAGCATAGACTAGCAGTACTAGAATTATGAGGCCCAAAACAACTCCAATCACAATAGACTGCGTAGAACAATTAGAGTCTTCCATAACACATGCTTGAAAATAGGGAAATAGGATCAAATAGCAAAATACGAAATTTCAACGTATGTATAATAATACAAACAACGTGTGTAACTTAACAAAGGGAATAAAATGTGTTTAATTGGGTAAATGATTTGATGGTAAAAAATATTATCCGCAGATTTGTTTATTATCCTGTTAAATGGGCAAAACAAACCAATAAAAATAGTAAATAGAGGGACATATCACCGAACACTGTAGTTTGAAACTAGCCTGTACACACATTAATTTAAAGAAATGTAGTAAAATGTTTCGAAGTTTACAAATTGCATAATGATAAGGTATGAATTTGGTAACATACTTTTCGTTATACACTTAAAACCACGAAATTTCAGTTCAGAATATTGTCATTTTTTACTTGGTAAATATTAAAGTTTGAAAGTGATGTACGAAGAAAAGATGTATTCTGTTACAATTCCAAGATCACACCAATCGGATAAATAGATTTAAAAATATTGGATCATATCGCCACAGTCTTATGTATTTACTTGATTTATTTACTTGTAATAGAGACTTAAATTCGCAAGATTATTTATTATTTCGTTTCAATAAATAGGAAAACGGACAAACCTTTTGCGTGTGCTTGCTTTATAGTTATTGTGTTTTCACCATTCATATTTTGCTCGTTTATTGCAAACACCTATAATTTAAAGAGTGAAACTTTTACTGAAGGTGGTAAACATTACATTTTTCTCAATGTTCAACAACATTTAGAACTCATATGTGACAGTAAATATTTGATATGTACGTTTTTGCAAAGAAGTGAAAAAAAAAATTTCTTCTCGTATAAAAATACACTTTTTAACAGTTGAAAGAAGTATGCTTACCTCAAAACTATAAAAAGTTTCTGGGACAATTTCGAGGATTATGTAATATTCATAATGTTCATCTCCGTTCTGGTTGAGTGTCTGTTGCGACTGCAGGTTCTTAAAATCAAGGTAAAGATACTAGCCAGTTATTTTATTAATGAGGAGTTTAGCAAATTAATAATATAATGTTGATAATTAAGTGTTTTCATAATGGCCTTGTTTTTGGACCGAATACTGTCATATTAAGCTGAGGCCGAAGACCGAAGGCAAATATGATTGTCTAAAGCACAATAACAAGGTCATTATGTGAACAATTATTATTGAAAATTTTATTAATTTAATGCACATTAAGTAAAAAAGTTAATAACTTAGTGAACAAAAAATAACTAATGTAAAAATTCGTTGTTGTTAGCTATTGCAAATGAGATTCTTGTTTTACAAATGTCTCGGAAACCAACCTTGCAGCAATTCAAAATGGCAACCTTTTTCAATGAAAAAAGCAGATTCATAATTGCCGAGCTGTAGAGCCAATCAAAATTGTCAAATCTTATAAAAGCCGAGTTTCCTCATAAAGGTCGTACTTTTTTCATAATGCCCTTGTTTTATGCCGTACTGAACTTCATATAAGTTTTACATTTGAATTGAAAACCTGCCTTATATTGAAAAGTTAATTAATAATTTACCTTAATAACTGGATACTTAACAAAAGAAAAAAATAATTACTGGTTAAATATTGAAACTGTAACTTTCACACTGTCACAAATTCATTTCTTCAGCATGTTTAACGTCTTATCTAATCAAAATTGCTTTTTATACTCACTCCAGTAACATTGTGCATAAAACTGTATTTCTTTATTTTACTATTTCTTTCAAGAATATTTGGTGATTTCCATAAAATTTTGAGCGTCTGCCCTGGACCATCTTGAACACTAAAACTTGACACCTTCCCAGGAGCTTAAACATAGGTTAAAATAATTAATTAGCATGCATTTACATATCTATAAATTTACAGTACTGTTGAAAGACGATTAAAATATCCATATTGAATTGATGAAAGGCATTTTTATCTGCCCGTTTATAGCCCGTGAGTATTGTAAAAACTGAACAACAAGAGGGCCATGATGGCCATGAAGTCGCTCACCTGTATGTAGGCCCCCAGAGCGGGGCCAGTTTAAATCCCAAGGCTTTTATTTGAACAAACTTGGTAGACACCCATTAGAAGATGTTTCATGCTAAACATCTAAGGTCTAGCTCGTTGAGTTTTTAAAAAAAAGATTTTTTAAGTTTTAACTATACACATATAGTTCAAAGCAATGACACCCCTAGGGCGGTGCCAGTTTTGACCCCAGGGCTTTTATTTGAACAAATTTTGAAGACACTCACTAGAAGATGTTTCATGCTAAATTCTAAACTCTAGCTATTTGTCTTTTTTTTCAAAGAAGATTTTTAAGTTTTTGCTATACACATATAAGGAAAATTAATGTCCCCAGGGATGGGCCAATTTTGACCCCAGGGCTTTAATTTGAACAAACTTTGAAGACACTAACTTGAAGATGTTTCATGCTTAATATCTAAACTCTAGCTATTTGGGTTTTTTTCAAAGATTTTTAAGTTTTTGCTATACACATAAATAAAATCAATAACCCCCGGGGCGGGGCCAATTTTGACCCAATGGCTTTTATATGAACAAACTTTGTAGACACTCACTAGAAGATGTTTCATGTTTAGTATCTAAACTCTAGCTATTTGGGTTTTTTCTAAGAAGATTTTTTTTTAAAGTTTTTGCAATACAAATATAAGGAAAATCAATGACCCCCGGGGCAGGGCAAATTTTGACCCCAGGGCTCTTATTTGAACAAATTTGGTAGACACCCATTAGAACATCTTTCATGCTAAATATCTTAGCTCTAGCTCTTTGGGTTCTTTTAAAGAAGATTTTATTTATCTATTAAGAGTTTTTACTAAATGCATATAGGGAAAATCAATGACCCCCTTGGGCGGGGCCAATTGTGACCCCAGGGCTTTTATTTAAACAAACTTGATAGACACTCCCTAGAAGATGTTTCATGCTAAATTTCTTAGCTCTAGCTCTTTGGGTTCTTTATAAGAAGATTTTATAAGTTTTTACTATATGCATATAGGGAAAATCAATGACCCCCGGGGCGGGGCCAATTTTGACCCCAGGGCTTTTATTTGAACAAACTTGATAGACACTCACTAGAAGATGTGTCATGCCAAATATCTAAGCTCTACCTCTTTGGATTTTTTAAAAGAAGATATTTTAATTTTTTTCTATCGGTTGCCATGGCAACCAGAGTTCTGCATGGAATGAAATTCTTTGAACAACTTTGTTAAGGCTTCACACAAGGAACATCCCTGTGAAGTTTCATTATGATCTGCCTTATGGTCTCAGAGGAGATGTCGTTTTAAAGGTATGAACGGACGACAGACGACGGACAAAGAGTGATCCTAATAGCTCACCCTGAGCAGATGCTCAGGTGAGCTAAAAACATTTCATGACAACCAATAATATTTTTTAAATTTCTTAAAAACTGAATCAATGTGTTGTATTGTTCAGTTTGAGGTGACTAGCCAGGACGTTTTGCCATCTCAGAATTTCGTATGTATGTAACGCTGCAAAAATGGTCCCGCGACGATGTTGTAGAACATGTTTTTACATTTTGTTTGTCTATATTGAAATGATTTTGAAAATCAATTTCATTATTCAAATTAAATAAAGAAATAGTTTCAATTTCAATATTTTTCTTACTTATTTTATTTTTATTGTTTTGTCAAAAGAGTCTGATGCCATCAGAGGGAGTTTGTATGACACTTGATTAAGCTTATTTTTTTTTAAAAAAGATTAAATGTACTACCTGCAGGTAATGTACGATATGTGTCTGACACATCAGATGTCACTGAACCAATAGATGTTGATGCAGTTACTGCAACAGTGTAATTCCAAAACTCCTCAAGACCTGTTACCATGTAATTTCTGTTCCCATAGCCTAAACAAAAATATTTAAATATGTCATATTATGCTTTTGAGAAATAATTCATTTACACTCAATATTATACTGTTGTGCTACAGTAAGTAGATTCATTACTAGATCAGAATAACAATCAGAAAAAGACACATTTAAAAAAAATAATCGCAAATAGAAATGTTTAATCTATGATCAGCTTGATCTCATACACTATACACACAATTTAGGAAATCAACAAAAGACACGTACAAGAAATATTCGAAGAAACGGAAATTTCTTCCATATAACACAAAAAGAAAAATCTGACAGATGATTTTATAATAAATTATAAATTTAAAAAAAAAAACCTTCTTCCTGATGCATCAAGTGTCACAAACACTTAAAATACCACCATGCCCAGCACGTTGATAATGCTGACACATTTGATCAGCAAACGACAATTAAACATTAGTGAAATTACTACTTACTTAATGTAGAAATGATAATATTTGACTTAAACTGAATCCTAGAAATGACTGTAACTAAAAACAATTCGACAAAACTGATAAGAAGGATTGGCAATATTCAACTGCAATTGGAAAAGTTGAAATGCTTAAAACAGAAATGTAGAAATGACAATATTTGACTTAAACTGAAATATAGAAATAACCTCTATTTGACTAATATGCAAAATGAACTTTCTGTACGATTGAATGGTTATTACAGTTTGCTTACCAATAATATTAAATTCTTTAGATTGAGCAATGTCAGTCATCATCCTTATTGTGTAAGTTGTGTTTCCTGGTCTAGGTGAACCAATTTTCCAATTAACCGTAACACTTGTTGAATTTATGTTAGTCACAGATACTTGATATGGTTTTTGTGGAGCTAAAAATAATTCCAAAATGTAAAGCTATTCAGACTTTCTGGTATATTCAACCAGGGACCCTCAGTGATTATTAGTAAAGTGAGTCATTCCTACCAGTCTTAAACTTTGTGCTAACATATGTAATGTAAAGTACCATATTGTGCTAGATGTCTAGATTAGCTATTAAAGAGCATTTTATTGGCACATTGCATTGGCACAACAAGAGCACCGCTAGGCGGAGCATTATAATGCCCGACTGTGTTGTTTTTTCTTAGTTAGGATGAAGCATTTGTAAGACATTGCATAAATTAAACAAAGTATTACCTCCTTCTAAAAGCAATCCTCCTATAAAGTTTGAATATTGTGGGCCAAAATGGAACTTTAGTTATTCTCTGGAAACTGTTTTCAGTTTTGAGGTAATAGCGACCTTGAACTTTGACCGTGTGACCCCAAAATCAATAGGGGTGTTTTTACATTATATGGACTATCATCCTATGAAGTTTCAACAGCATGGGCCAAATAGAAATTAAGTTATGTTCTGGAAACTGTTTTCAGTTTTAAAGTAATAGTGACCTTGGCCTTTGACCTTGTAACCCCAAAATCAATAGGGGTATTCTACCCAATATGGACAATCATCCAATGAAGTTTGAATATTGTGGGCCAAATAGACCTTAAGTTATGCTCTACAAACTGTTTTCAGTCTTAAAGTAATAGTGACTTTGACCTTGTGAACACAAATCAATTGGGGTATTCTACCCAATATGGACAATCATCCTATGAAGTTTGAATATTGTGGGCCAAATAGAACTTAAGTCATGCTCTGTAAACTGTTTTCAGTTTTAAAGTTATAGCGACTTTGACCTTGTGACCCCAAAATCAATAGGGGTCTTCTAAACCCAAACCCAATGTGGACAATAATCCTATGAAGTTTGAATATTGTTGGCATTGAACTTAAGTTATGCTTCGGAAACTGTTTTCAGTTTTTTTAAGTAATAGTCACCTTGACCTTTGACCTTGTGACCCCAAAATCAATAGGGGTCTTTAACTTAATATGAACAATCATCCTATGAAATTTGAATACTGTGGGCCAAATGGAGCTTAAGTTATGTTCCGGAAACGATTTTCAGTTTTAAGGTAATAATGACCTTCACCTTTGACCTTATGGCCCTAAAATCGATAGGGGTCTTTTACTTAGTATGGACAATCATCCTATGAAGTTTGAACAGTGTGGGCCAAACGGAACTTAAGTTATGCTCCGGAAACCAAATTGCTAACGGACGAACGGACGGACGCCAAGGGGTATAACATAATATGCCCGAAATTATTTCGAGCTTTTAAAAAGGCAGTAGGGTAAAAACATCGAAATTTCTTAAATTAGGGGGATATCTTTCTTACAGCTTAGATGTCTATGCCCTAAGAGGGCAACAAATTTGCTCTACTCAAATAGCTTGAGACATGCATTTGCCACCAAAGATAAGAAAATTCAGAACACTTTTGCTTTAAAATATATATAAATAAATATTACAGTTCAGTGCCATTTATTTATAACCATTTTCATTTAAGTTCGAAATGGACCATAATCTGCCGAAATCAATATTCTTAATTAAATGTAAGGTTTTATTGGCCTTAAGATGTTTTGGAAAAACCAACTTGCACGCAATTACTTAGAAAAGTGTGACACTGACGCTTGGGTGAGTACAGTCGAATATTCAAGCTAGGAATTAAAATTAATTATGTTTATATGGAATTTATTATAAAAATCATAATTCAGAAATCATAATTCTTAAAGAAATCACTCCATAAGGGACAATGAAAGCATTTTTAAAATTAAAGACATAAAGCTTAGTAAAAAATAGATATTCGCAATTGCTTATGTTACAAAACGGTTGATAATTATGGGCAGTTCATGATAAATAGACGGATATTGATATATAACAGATATATATTAAACAAACATTGCAATACCAACGAAAAAGAAAAAAAATAGAAACTGTACTGGCTTATAAACACATTACCTTCTTCATTTGTTCTTTGGGTATAAGTTGCTGGATTTCCTCTTCCAGCATCATTTATTGCAGTAACAGACACAGTGTAGACAATGAACAGCAGTATGTGTCAACTTACTAGCAAATTCTTGTTTCGTTTTACCAACAACAGGATCTCTTTTTGCAGGATCACACAAATCAACTAAACTTGAAAGCTGCAAAAACAGAAATTAAAAGATTACAGACTAAAACCCATCTTCTAAAAATTATTATTCAATAAACAAAGAAAAATGACTAGAGGTGGTGAATTGTTAAACGTCTGTATCTTACACAGAATAAGATCTGTATACTAATAATTTCCATATTCAATCTTCATCCACATTATATATAAAAATGGAAAGAAAGTGATCACTCGGAAGCATAAATCACAACAAAATTACATTGAAGTGAAGTACGGGGCAACTTTTTACAGCATTTTACACCTGCTGTTGTGAAGTATAAAAATCTGGAAACAAAGTGATTCCTTGAAAGCATTAATCACAACAAAATTACATGAAAACTGCAGACTCGGTTTGATTGAGTCTGTATATGAGGGATAATAAATAAGTGCAACATTTATTTTCTGTACATTCATTTTCTTCACTTTTGAAATGTACCAATGAAGAAACAAGTAATGAGTAAATATTTACGCTATAAGATGCCTAAAATACACAATATCATTTGTGTAATAAGTCAAATTTAACAGATAATAACAAAAAGTTGATGTATGCTACAAAGGCATTCTTTTCATTGAATAGGAAACTCAACTTTTAAATTCTATCAACAAAAACAACCAGTGCCGAGAGGGTACCATGCACGACTTAGGTAAAGACTCAATCAAACCGAATCTGCAGTTTTAACCAAATATTGCTGACGTTTATGCTTCTAACGGATAACTTTTTTCCAGATATGTATACATCACAACAGCAGGTTTCAAGTGGCAAATTGGTAATCGTAAAAGTTGCCCCGTACTTCTTTACAGTATAGTTATATTTTTCTGATCATTCAGGACTTTTGTTTCCAGATTTTTTTCCTGCAATTTTCATGTAATTTTGCTGATTTTTTGCTTTGGTAGGATCACCTTTTTCTTCTTGTTTTCAAAGGTAAATATAATCAGAAGAATCAATAACAAATTATAAAACCATCTTTTGTGTGTATAACATTGTTTTTTTTTATATTTGACCTTAATAATTAAAGTCATTTTACGTATCAAGCTAGTACATTAATTATTTAAAATGTCGATGGTGCTTATTCAATAGTACGGGGGTTGTTCGGGAAGTTTAAGGACTTTTGCTGTATATTTTTCCTTAATGGTGCGTTTTTATCTATATTTCACAAAATGTAATTTAAATATGTGCTCAATATGTAGTATAACGCACACTATCAAGAATAGACAAATACCGCTCGAAATTTGTTTCTATAGGAACCGCATAACGCATACCCGGAGCACTCCGATGTTTTTATGTTCGTATTTAAGTAAATGGTTCCGATATATTTAATTGATAATAATTTTCTTAAATTACAATGGATAACGTCACGAAAAAGCACGAGCTTTAAATACAACGTCAACGTCATTTCCTGAAAATTGTACTCGTAAATCGTTACAATTGTTTAAATAACAACAGTTTTAACATCACTGGCGCTTACACAAATCACAAAGTTTTGTGTAGGAATTGAAAAGACACCAACGGAGACGTATAAAATGATTCAAGTATCTAATACAACAAAGAAATGCTGTAGATCGCTAGTATTTAGATGACACGACATGTTCAAAAACGGAATAGAGTCAATATAGGATGACAAGCAATGCGGTCGACCGATGGATTTCCCATTTTTTTCGGAAATCAAATCACAGCTGCATGGTCGACGCTTTGATTCCGAGTTGGAATTACAAATTGAACCCCAGAGAATAGTGTCGTCATTCGACAACATCTGGTACGAGGACACGTACGACAAATGCATCAAGAGGCATAGAAAATGTATCGCTTTGAATGGAGATTACGTCAAGAATTGAGTCGATATGACGATCGGGGAAATTTGACGTTAACATATTTAGCAGTGACGTGACGTTAGCGTGCTCCGGGTATGCTTCGGTGTATGTTTTGTTTTATATGTAATTTACTTATTGTTTAAAGTATTTCATTGTAATTTTTACAGCTGGCTGTTTAAGAATTAAATATTTTTATGGTGTTTTTCTTGCTTTTAAATTCCTATTATTTATCAAACTACAGCAAAAGTCCTTAAACTTCCCGAACACCCCTCGTACAAGTCAATAAATAATAAAGTTTTGGCAATTAGAGCAAATTCAAACAAGTTAAATTATAACAATCAAGATCTGTTGAGGAGTAAAGTCAAACTTGAATTTTTCTAGATTGTTAGTGTTGATTTGTTCGAGTATGAATCAAACTTAAAATAATGAAATGTTATTTCAAGTCAAGAAAAATTCAATAATTTGACAAATATGATGTAGGTCATTTTTGGCCATATTTGAATAATTCAACATGTCAGTTTTATCAATATTGACACTCGTGCCATATTGTTGAAGTATAAACATCATTTGTACATTAGCAATATCTTAGCCTTTATTGTCAAGGTCATTATCAGGTAAAGACCAAAATTTTACAATTTAACATACACATTTCGGTTCTGACATAAGTGTCGTTTTGCCCAAGTATTAGTCAAATTCCTTAAAAAATAAGAGTTATCACTTATTAAGCTAAATTCTAAACACTTTCCAGGTTATCCATATATAATACTTTTATATAGTCAGTCGTTGCATAATTCAAGCGAAATTGAAATATCTGACCTTATAGGTAAAGGTCATTTATGAGTGACATCTTTGTCTATGGAGGCTATTCGTTGCCAAAAATCCAGCCTTGTTGATCTGCGTTGATCAGTTCGTTAACTGACAAAATACAATTGTATTTCTTTGTATGTAAACTCCAATGTTGCATTCTTGGATTGAGTTTGCCGATTTTACATTGTAAACATGTATTTCAACAAAATACATTTTGTTAAACGAGAAAACATTAACTGTTTTTCTGATAGTAGCAAAACCAATTATTCATCATAACATACGGAACCCTCATTGTTTGTGTATACGCCGACTAAACAAAAGTTACTTCTCAGCTTTACATTGTCAAACCATCATGATTCGGATCAGCATAATCCAGCTTTACACGTTTTTCAATAGGAGATAAAATGCTCCGCCCATTTTCCCACCCACTACATCATCGTAAATAAACGTATTTATCCGCTTATTTTCGGTATTTACCGTCAGCGACAAGAAGGAAACAAGAACACGCACCGGCGTAGTTTCCGTTTACATGTACCACACCATTTTAGTGTTTAGTTATTCATCAAACATAATTCATCAGCATAATTGCCATTCTTTGCCTTTATTCAATCAACATCAGCGGGCTTTAAATGATTATAGGCATATAAGTTTTGAGCGTTGTAGATATCACATTTCCTAGAAAAAATAGAGAAAAAAACTCCTCACCAGGTTACTTACTGTCTGAAGTTAAATATTTTTCAAGGAAGTTATAACTAATGATAAAACTATATTCAACGACAAATAAATTTTACTAAGGGGATTCCAATTGGTATAGGAATATTTAACATTGACAATTATGCTGCTACCTTACCAGTTTCAAATTTACAAGTCAACATCTGTAAGAGATTTCGATACGACTAAATACTAATACAGACCAAATCGTGGCTGTTGTCTTTCCTATTAGTAGCATTTACTAGTAACCTTAATTCTAGCGTATAACTTGACAAGAAAAAAAAAACATTTTAACAATAGTAAAATTAAAACTAAAGTTGTATGTACCCTTTCGTACATAACTTTTTTTTACATACTGTATAGATATATTTTCCCATTTTTACCATTTTTCCAATTATAATATTGAGTCCAAATGTATGTATGTTGATTATCAATTTATGTAAACCTTTTTATTTTATTGTATTGTATTGTATTGTACAAAACTTAATAAATATTCTGTGAAATACTTCATGTACATAAAAATAGTTCTCTGCTTTTGATCAGAGAGACAGCAAGTCTTGGAAACAGCTATTTAATGACGGCATGTATACACAGATGTTAGAGCTGTCATCGATTCTACATAAAAGAAGACCTTAACCTACGTAAGCTTACATATATTTAATAATAAAAGGCTAATTCACATCCTATGACTCAAAATAACAGAGATTCGAGGATACGCGTCAACATGAAAATGGGACAAATTCATAAGTTTTTGGTTATACAACGGAATTATCGATAGTAACCTTTGAATAGTTCCATAGCTTTACACATGGTAAAACATTTGGGTTTTTCTACAACCTATTATAGTCCTTTAAAGAAAGAAAGCACAGGCTTACTGATCAGTTCTCTTTATTCGTGTTGCCAAAACTGACTTCCATGTATCGCATTCTAGTAAAATTTGCTGAATGTAAAAGACACGCTTTTGTAACGTTTGAAGGCACAAAACCCTTTCGATAAAAACAAATGTGGTTTGTTTCGTTATATATGGGAAACATTCCCTTATGTTAATTCACCAACTTTAGGTTTTGCATATTATGATGCTCATTATCAGTATAAACGTTGTTACATTGTTACAATATACGAGGAACGGTCAGAAAATATCCGGATTTTTCATGCTCCTCTCTTTCCACGTGCAGCTATATACACACATTATATATTGGTGAAAACTACATTCATTCGCCAATAACGTGGTCATTTTATTTTCAATGATAGTTGTGTATACACAGTATTTTGCCCTCTGATATATGATAGGTGTTTCGTCTATCATGGACGCTTTGTTAGAGGAACAACGCACTGTAATAAAGTTTCTGGTTGCAGAAGGTGAAAAGCCCTGCCACATCTTTCAGAGGCTTAAAAAAAGATTTTCTGATAAATGCGTATCACGTTCAACCTTCTACAACTGGGTTTCTCAGTTTCGTGAAGGCAGAACAAGTGTTTGTGACAGGCCTAGGACTGGGCGGCCAGCTGAGGCGGGGACCCCAACAAAGGTAGCAAATGTTAAAGCTTTTGTCAACAAAAATCGTCGAGTAACTTTAGAGGATGTAGCCAACAAGTTTAGCATCGGTAAGGCATCGGAACACAAGATTTTTTCACGAACACCTAGGCATGAGCAAGGTAAGTGCCAGGTGGTTGCCTAGACAGCTGTCCGCAGATCAAAAGGTAACCAGAGTAAGTCGTTTTAATTGTGAAGGAGTTGAGTTTTTGAACGCATTATCACTGGAGATGAGATTTGGGTTCATTATTCCGAACCTGAGACAAAAGCTCAGTTAAAGCAGTGGAAACCAGCTGGTTCCCTACCTCCTAAAAAGTTTAAGCTGTCTCCTTCGGCTGGCAAAGTCATGCTTGTTGCCTTTTGGGATTCACGAGGAATGATACCTCCTTATTTCATGCCAAAAGGTCAAACTGTCACCGCCAAGTTCTATTCTGAAGTAATTCTAAAAAATCTCAGAGAAAAGCTGAAGCAAATGCGTCCCAGGTTAGCACACAAAAATGTCCTCCTTCTTCACGATAACGCCCCCTCCCATACCGCCGCACCTACAGTGGAGGTTATCAACTCTTACAAATGGCAATTGTTGTCTCACCCTCCTTATAGCCCAGACCCCGCCCCTGTGACTTTTATTTGTTTCCAGAACTGAAAAATGCTTGCTGGAAAGAAATATAAGACCAGGGCGGCTTTGATATCTGTTGTTACACAGTACCTAAAACATTGGTCTACGTCATGGTTCACAGCGGGAATTCAAAAGCTCCCACGAAGATGGCAATAGTTCGTAGACGTAGATGGAAAATATTTTGAAAAAAGTAGAAAGATTTTTTTTAAATGTTGAATGGTTTTCGAGAACGAGTCAAAAGTCCGGATATTTTCTGACTTCCCCTCGTATAGTTACCAATTTGCATTACTTTAATAACCTGTGCTAGAATACGTTTTAACAAAATCAGAGGATATTCAAAGTCAACTGTAATGCAGTTGATGTATGTGAAATTCTTAACATTTTTCTATAATTTGTAATATTTTTGTACCAGCAAGAGTTACCTCTCTTTATTTTCTGCTTTCGTGAACATTGGCTCCGCCTATTGATTTTCGTCTATTTCCGTGATAATTCCAGATACGGAAGTTGCAAAATCGTTTACAAATGTTAATCGCGTTAGAATGTAAAAGGAAAGTGTGGTGTTGTCAACCTGAGAGTGTTAACTGGTGCAGTTACACACATGAAACGTCATGATGCACAGCATTAAACGTGTTGTGTACTTTCTATTGTTAACATTTTACATGCCGCAAATTTGAAGTTATACATTTCTAAATACAGTTTGCAATTTAGCTAAGTTGCACGTAAACAGGTTCCATTTTATCAAATCGAGATAATCAAAACGCTTAATACCAGTGCAGTATGTAACTGTCGGATCGACAATTAGATTTATACTAATCTGTTTAGTAGAACCCATCGAAGTATGCATTGTCAAGTTTCAAAGCCTGGGTTTGTGGCAATGAATAGCCCCCATATTTGTCAGCTAGAAGGTCTTGTCCAAGGATTGTTTTGTCCAAGTATGAAGGCAATTCATTTAGAAATAAACAAGAATTGTTTTTTTGAAACAGACAAATGACCCAAGTAGGGTCAATTAGAGGATTCATGACCTGATTAGGTAAGGACTAAATTTATGCGTGGCACAAATTTTCATTATGTCCAACATACTTTTGTATATTTTTTATTTTTAAATCTACCCAGGAATAACAGAATTGTTGAATGAACAAGATCATCAGTGAACTATTATAAAAAAGATATAGTACTATGACTTTTTATCAACATGTGAGCACTTGACAATAAAGCGGGGAGCCTGATTCTTGCGCGCGACACATTCCAACACATTTATAAATTATAAAAATTTCAAAATCAATCCAGGAATGACACACTCGTTAATAGGATACGAACATCAGTGTACCTTTTTGTCGGTTGCCTTAGGACAGCACGCTCGACTATTTTCATTGCTTGATAGTCTCGATAATAAAAACACGATCTAAGTAAAAAGGGGCCTCTTTTTTCAAATACATGTTACAGTTATAGGCCTTGTAGAGCAGTAGAGTGACCTATAATGCTTTCAAATGAACGATAAACTTTAAACTCGTTTCAAAGCTAGATGTCAAAGGAATATAAAAAAAATATTTGAGGCGGTACGCAAACGTAACGTTAATTCTAAGTCAAAAACGAGCATAATTTTGCCCAAATGCTTGGTACAATGACGTCCTCCTGTGTATTTTGGACATGATGGTGTACAAGTGTGCAAAGTTTCAACGCAGATGTCAATGCAATTTAATAATATTTGAGATGGTACCCAAACGATACCGTAAATTCTATGTCAAAAAGGGCATAATTCTGTAAAAATGCTTGATACAGTTATATCCCGCTGTGTGCAAGTTAGGAGTTCAATGGTAAACAACATTGCAAAGTTTCAAAGCCATATATCAATGGACTTTGAAAATATTTGGGGTGGTACGCAAACTTGAACATAAGTGGTGTAGCCGACGCACAGGTGATTATGATAGCTCCACCTATTCTTCGATTGTCGAATAATATGTACTTAAATCATACATTTAGTTATTGGCCATTAAGATTAATCTTTAGTTTTGCATCAAAGATAATCAATAGTTTAAAACACCTAATAGTATGTATATCTTGGTAAAGGATTATTCCTCACATATATCTGTCTGCAATCAAAAATGTTCACCTTATTACAATATTATACAATGGACATAGTAACCTTATAAATTCAAAGACTTACTATAAAACTACCTCTACAATCTGAGCATCTATAAATAACTTCTTTCCAGCATGAACCGGTCTCATCTTTTATCTGTAGAACGTATCCATAGTTTTCGTCACTGTACGTATTCACGGGTTTTTCCCAAGAAATATCAAAACCACGACTTGTTATTCCAGTTACTGCAAGCTTTGTTGGTAAATCTGACACTGTGATGATGATAATTAGAAATATGTGGCGAATAAGGCATTATTTTGTTAAGTATTGCATAGTATGTTTTACAATTTGTTACAAATGTCCCTATTTCATATTTGTATTAATCAATTAAGCATTTCAGCTTAGGGTATATACTATAGATTGGTACTTGTCTTCCAGCTGAACGTTATCCACGACAACATACGAGCATGATGATTACCCGTCTCCCAACTCCTTACTCTTGATTATAGTATTTTTCATAAGTCAAATACGATTTTTTTCAGATATCTCATCTTAAACAAATTAATCTGGGTTTTGCTTTTAAAATACGTACACTGATGTGGTTATAGAAAGGGACACTCCAATATCCCAAGATATATTAACTAATATGATGTTAAAATGTTTCATTTTAATAATGCCAAGACACTTATTGAATACCGTCTTTTAGAAGAGTTCTGTTTAAAATAAAGAAAGTTTCACTTTCTAATTAAACTGGATAACGTTGTAAACTTGTTGTGAGTTATTTTCATTTAGATGGACACTAATATCCATCTATGCTTCAGAACATAACAACTGAAGAAAAATATATTTTAAGAGTCTTTGTCTATACTAGAATTATAGCTGTTATTGTTATTTGGTGTGTTTATCTTGCAAAACTAAATGGGATCCATACAATGCTAAAGTAGTTACCTTTTTCATCTCGCTAACCTCCTCGGTAATTGTTATGCCAAAGTTTATAGATCAATAAATTCCGATATATTAACAATTATTCGTAAATTTTTTTCAAGGTGAACATGTTCTTTATTTCTTTTAATAAAATGTGTGGTTTATAAATAATACTATAGATAAAGTTATATAAACCCAAAAATAAAACTTGGAATACTTACGTTTGGGTCTTATTTGGCAAGATGACGATACCTGGGCATAATTTGTTGAATTATTTCCTTCATTTTCTGTGTATAATCGAAATATGTAGTTTGTTCCTACAATAAGATAGAATAAGTGATGTTAATTAAGTGAAACTAACTTATGTAAGGATTTCAGTCGGCCAAAATAACAGTATCATCGATCACTACAACATTTTGTTAAACCAAATTTTTTTGTACTATTACACTTACACTTACAAAACTTGATTTATCATAGTTACCTGGTTGTAGATTTCCAACCACTTTTTGTGTTTCAGTTCCACTAGTTATATCACGGAACAGCACTTGCAAACTTGTATCAATTTAATCAATATGATATCTTACTAAATCACCATTAGGTAAAGAAGGTGCATCCCAGTCAAGTGTTATAGCAGCGTCTGTAGAAGATTTGCAAACAGCATTACGTGGTGACTCTGGAACTGTAATTTAACAAACATAAAATTTGAAAATACGTTTTGTTTCTGACAAAACAACAGTTTACTTGTTAGAGCTTATTATTATCCCTCACTTTTTTCGTAATGTTAATTTCCCATAGGCCTCTGGGAGTTATTCTTACTGTTAATGCAAGTGTACCACGTGACTAAGAATTTCGTACTGTTACATAGGTAACAGTATTTTTTAACAGTATAATATCTGGTGACGTGGTCTATTTTCTAAATAAAATGAAATAAAATGGCCGCCATTTTTCTCTCGATTCATTCTTATTTTCGACGATAGGGCCCATGGCATCACCAAAGGAACTATGACTCTCATACAATTTAGTTCTTTGCACCCTTGAGTTCTTTTCGCGTATAAAATATATTTTTGTTGAATAGTCAAAAAGTTTCAACGGAAGTTATTGTAATGTGAATAATTTTGTGTCAAACTGGACCATACAGACGATTAAAGCATGCAACAAAGCATTATTTAAAGGAACTCCACTGAGGTTTATAAGCCTAAAAACATAAAATCTTAATTTTTCACAAAGATAAACATGATCACTTGAAGCAGAATATTAATACAATATAACAAAGAAATATAGAGGTATACATTGAAAATCATATGTGTGTGCTATTCTCAGTCTGATTTGAGTGAAAAGCGTTTAAACGCTTTTCAATTTTGGGTCATTTTTCACTATTATAATAACTATTCTAGAAAAAACGGAGCAAGCTAATGATCTGAAACTTTGCACATAAGTTATTAGTATAGATCTACATCAAATGGAGTAATGATCTCAAAAAATTATTTCCAGTCCCGTCATGTCAAAAAACCCTGTGAAACGTTACAGATAGAAATGTTGGACAGACATCTGTAGGATATCATCGTTAATTTGTAAATGCACTTGGTCAAAAACCATGCGAAGAATATTCTGGATAAAGAAGGAACATATTTCACAGATCATAACCTTATAAATGGGTTAGTGTTTTGTTTTCGGAATAAAACACAGCGTATTGTATGTTTATGACTGGTAGATATCATCATCTGCTAAAAGAATAAAAGAAAAACAGCTTCTTAAGTACAGGAGGCCTACAGCTTGCAAGGTAAGCACAGTTGTGTTATTGCTACTCTTGGTTTTCTTGTAACAGTTTGATTTTGTTTACAAATTCAGATCATCACAGTAATTGTTCGGGGTAATAAAATAAATAACACATGAGTTTGTGGTTAACAGTAAAATTATCATCCCTTTACCCTCGGCTACGCCTCGGGTAACAGTATTTTCCTCGGGATGATATTTTTACTGTTACTCACAAACCCATGTGTTATTTATATAATATTACCGTCTCAGTATCCTTTAACAATTATAATGCTTTTCTAATACCACAACTTGAATTTTCTCTTTTCTTCTTTGTCCAAATGTAATTTAAATATACCCGACACAATCTCAGTATTATGTTAAATGTAAGACACAGATAAAGAACTGTTACCTTGCACTTTTGTTTTAATTGGAGAAACCTTTGCCTCACTCCATAAATAGTATCCATTAAACTGTTGACTCCTTGCTGTTACATTAACATTATATCTATAACCATTCAGTACATTGTCAAACGTTGTAAATAAAGATGAGCTGTTTCGGGAACCTTTCTCAGAATTACCATCAAATAACCTCACTCTATATAACGTTGTCACACCAGCTCCTGCTGTCCATTTAATAGTAATAATTGAATCACGAGCATCTAAATCATTTCCCGAACTAGTTACAGCACCTGGAATGCTCGGTTCTGAAAAAAGAAACAAAAATATAAGAATAAAGATACACTTTTAAAAGAGAACATTTTTTACATTTTTAAACAACAATTAAACCTGTTAATGATACAAAAAGTCATCATGTCGCTACTTAAATTCAAATAAATGTCTACATCTCATATGGTCAGCAACATGCTTAATACTATTTTATATTTGAAAACAATTCATACATAATTACAAATCTAAGTGAAAATACTACAAATACAAAACATGGTCCCATTACCATCATAGGTCCGTCTTTTGTAACTTTGTTTCCTCTTTTTTAAATATTAAACTATACTTTTCACAGTAAAGATAAAGAAATGTATTTTTGTATTTTTGTGCCCCCACATTTAGATTTACCCTTGTCCGTTCGTTCCCTTTTTGTGTCGCACGTAGCTCAAAAAGTAATTGACCTAGAGTCATGAAACCTTACAGGAATGTTGATCAGCATGTGAAGTTGTGCACCTGGGTATTTAAGTGTGGTTAAATTTAGAATTTTTACAGTTATTGTCCTTGACTTAGTGAAAATTTGCAATTTTTGACTTGTGTCACACATAACTCAAAAAATATTTGACCTTAAGTCATAAAACCTTACGGGAATGTTGCTCAGCATGTGAAGTTGTGCATCTGGTAATTTTTGTGTGGATATATTTAGTATTTTTATATAATTGCCCTTGAATTACTAAAAATTTCCAATTTTCAATTTGTGTCGCACATAACTCAAAAAATATTTGACCTAGAATCATGAAATCTTACAGGAATGTTGATCAGCATGTGAAGTTGTGCACCTGGGTATTTTTGTTTGGACATATTTAATATTTTTAGGAATAGAGCCTTTGACTAAGTAAAAATTTGCAATTTTCAACTTGTGTCGCACGTAACTAAAAAGTATTTGACCTAGAGTCATGAAATCTTACAAGAATGTTGCTCACCATGTTTAGTTGTGCACCTGTGTATTTTCTTGTGGATAGTTTTAGTATTTTAGGAGTTATAGCCATTGACTTAGTAAATATTTGCAATTTTCAAATTGTGTCACACATAACTTAAAAATATTTAACCTACAGTCATTTCACCTTACAGTAATGTTGCTTAGCTTGTGTAGTTGTGCACCTGGATATTTTTGTGTGGATGTATTTAATAATTTCCCTTGAATTAGTAAAAATTTCCAATTTTCAACTTGTGTCGCACATAACTCAAAAAATATTTGACCTAGAGTCATGAAACCTTACAGGAATGTTGATTAGCATGTGTAGTTGTGCACTTATGTATTTTTGTTTGGATATGTTTAGTATTATTAGAGTTATTGCCCTTGAATTAGTAAAAAATTCCAATTTTTAACTTGCGTCGCACGTAACTAAAAAAGTATTTGACCTAGAGTCATGAAACCTTACAGGAATGTTGCTCAGCATGTGTAGTTGTGCACCTGGGTATTTTCGTGTGGCTATTTTTAGTATTTTTAGAGTAATGGCCCTTGACTTAGTAAAAATTTACAATTTTCAACATGTGTTGCACATAACTCAAAAAGAAAAAAAATCTTAAATGATGGATCCCATAAAGGTATCATATATTGGGTCCGTTACATTTTCTGAACACTTCATTTATGTATTATAATAAATATTAGTTATTTTATATAACAAACGTAGATAAAACTTAATGAATACCCATCCTTTAAAGCAGCACACCTCCAGATTAATGCTTTTTTTCGTGAAAATTTTGAAAATGTATCTAAAAGTATAATATTGTATAGTAGCCAAAGCGAAGCAACTTACACAATATCAATCACACTTTCAACCCACGTAAATTACAAAAAGAGTTCAAAATATGCAAAAAGTGTACGTACTGCGTTAGTAAGGCAGTAGAGATATAGTTATAAATAATGAAAAAATAGCAATACACACTCATAACATGTAAATTATTACTTGAATTTTGAATCCTTTTACTTTTCCTAAAATCTTAGTACATTTTTCTCAAGTTTGATTTAATTGAAATATTTTGTCTCATCTGGACGCATGCTGTTTTAAACGAGTATGAGGCTGAGTATATGCACTGTATATTTATCTCTCTTTTTAAACTTATCTCAAAATTATACTTACTAATAATATTTGTCTAAGTAAAACATGTTTTTGCTTAAATATTGAATTCCTGCTGATGTAATATATATATTTCGATTTACCTTTATTAAACATATATATTTCTTGTCAAAGATTATAAAACGATGGACAATGATTAAAATTGAACATGAATTTCGATACGGGTCGTATTATAGTCCACCCACAACCCCCGGCGGGCGGGTAGCCGGCTGGTCGGGCGGCGTCCAATTTTTGTCCAGAGTATATTGTTATGTATGCAACATTACATGTATATAGTTTATCTCTGACAAGGTGGTATTTCCAATATTATCATTGTTCTATTTTTAGAACATAAACTACATGTGTACCATTATAGTAAAATGTAAACAATAGATTTAACAAGTTTCTTAACTGTTGTAGAAAATTCTAGATTATGATTCATGTATTATATTTAGATAGAAACTACCAGAACATTCTTTATTGTTGAAGGTGCTAGATTATGATTACTGTAGAACATAAAAGACTGATCTAGAATGATCTTAGCTAATATATATAAGGGGACATGTTTCATTTTCTGGACCTTTTACGCTTGGAGTATTATTCAACTTCGATATCAAGTAATTTATTTGAGCTTGGATTTTATTGTGGGAATTTATTCTAATTAGGATTATTGGATTTAATTTGGATTTAACTGTGCTGATCAAAAAGAGATCATTCCAGGATCAGACTAGACATTTGAGATTTATATTTTTATTTTTACTTCAGGTATTTATAAGCATAAATTGTTCTTCAATTTTTCTTTCATAATTTTTCTGTAATAAATTTGTTATTGTTACAAGTTTGTTGCTTGCTTTTCTTTCTCGTTACGCCTGGCTCGTAACAATATCTCATACACCCATAGATGAAAATTAATGAAACTTCTAAGAAATGTTCACCAGTATGAGACGCCGTATCATGTGCATAAAATCAGGCCTCTATGTCAAAGGTCAAGGTCACATTTAGAGGTCATTGCAAAACGTTTATCCGGAGCAAAACTTCTACATGCATAGAGGGATTTCAATGTAATTTGGCACAAATGTTCACTATTGTGAGGCGGAGTGTCGCGTGCAAAATTAAGGTATCTACGGCCAAGGTCAGTGTCAAACATAGGGGTTAAAGTTCAGCTAAAATATGAAATTGGTGTTGGGACCATTTTGTCCTCATTTATTGAGGGTTTGAAACACAAATTGTCATTATTATGACTACTGGTGTGAAACATGTAATTTACATTAATATATGCAAGGTCATGGTCACTGAAGATGATTGCCAAGGTCACTTAAGATGATAAATTAAAGAGATTTTGTCAAGAGCATATCTCCCACACTTATGGAGGGATTCTTATGAAACTTCATATAAATGTTCACCAACCACTACGAGAAGCCTTATGAACAATGCCTCTAGGTGAAAGTTCAAGGTCACATTTAGAGGTCAAAGAAAAGTGCTTGTCCGGAGCAAAATTCCATCATGTATAGAGGGATTTCAATATAACTTGGCACAAATGTTCACTATTGTAAGGTGGTGTGTCTCGTGCACACTTTAGGTCCCTGAGGTCAGGGTCAAGGTCACACATAGGGGTCAAAGTTCAGATAAAATATGAATATGTGTATTGGGACCATTTAGTCCTCATTTCTTGAGGGATTGAAACACAAATGGTTACTATCAAGACTACTGGTGTGAACCATGTAATTTAGGGTAATATATGAAAGGTCGACGTCACTTAATATGATCGTCAAGATCACTAAGATGATAAAATATAAAGATTTTGTCCAGAGCATATCTCCTACACTATTATTCGAGGACATAGAACATACATTAAAGAAACTAATAGTTTGCATGCATTGCTCCTTAAAATAATGACTAACATCAATTTATATTTGTCCCCACCCAACAAAGATCACACCTGAAATATATAAATATGGGCCATCTTCATGAAAGTGCAGGATACTCCAGAATTCGCCCGATTCCTTTAAAAATATCACTAACACACTGCAATCAACAGGAATTTTAAAAATGTCCAACGAACTGTCGATCATACGTTTTGACTGTTAACAAAATTCATCCAAAGTTTTTTACTTGTTTGTGGCCTTCTGTCATAGCTTTTTTTTAAAAACTTTTTACCTTCATTCGGAGATTGAAAATTACATACAAAGCTACCAAAATGCTCGCGTAAAAACCAACAAATACTGCTCATTCCCTACACACATACTAGAAACAATTGCAATGACAAAAAATATTAAAAGTTTCCAGTACCTTCAAAACACTATGTCTGAGTTTTTAAAAGATTTGATCGGCTCATCATTAGGATATGTCATTTGCCCAATGAGCGGACAGAGGCAAGTCAGCACCGGAATTAAGATAGTCCGCCTGTACGTTTTATAAAGATTTATAAACGTATACTTAACAATTTCCTACATCAAACAGTTTGTTTAACCTCTTCCTCATGTTAAACAGCTTAATTACAATTATTATAAATGGTGATTAACAAAATACAATAGGCATATTACATAATACCACTTTTGAATCGAATTAATGCTGAAAAAATAGAGAGAAATAAGAATCCCTAAAACCATTCTACATATTTTTGTCAATAGGCTATTACGTTTATACAATGAAAACAAAACCTATCTACACAGGGTATGTCCCTTTAACGACCACATTTATTATGATTCATCAAATTGTTGACTGACATTACTAAATGATATCCTGCATGAAGAAATTTAGGAAAATCAAACAAGATAATAATCATGTTCAAAAGTGTTTTCTCCCTTATTCTGCATCATGGTGTAAAAAATATTTTTTTTGAAGTTCTTACTTGCTGATTGTTGTTTTGATGTATAAGTTGTCCTTGTTACACCAGGTGCTGTGGCTATATCTTTTGATATCACTTTGACTTCATATTTTCTTCCAGGTGTTAAACCTGAAACCCTCTGAGGAGATGTTGCACCGACCACCTTACCTCCATTTTGCCATTCTACATCATATCCACTTACATAACTAGATCTAGTAGGTGCATTCCAAGATGCAGTTAATTCTGTGGTTCTTATATTTGAAAATGTTATTCCTGTTACTTGAAGTTCTTGTACTGAAATCAAACAAATGAAATGAATTGTTTTAACGAATGAGGCATTCAATACAGTATAAAACATAATATATTATCCGTTCTGCAACTTTTATGGCATGGTCTTGTTTTATACCTTCATGACTAGACATATATAACAAACAACTACATGTATATTACACTCTTACTACATCATATACATTAATATGCATAGATTTAAGCCGATAACCTGGTGCAGTTGAACTCAAAACAGGCAGGTTTGTTTCAAAAATTACTTTCCCTTTTTATGAGTGTACGCGTATATTATAAAATGCGTGTACGCGTATGATATACAGCACCTTACTGAAGCTGCTTTGTATCACAGACTTCTGAAGTTGATCTTTGACTTCACTATTAATTCCAGTGAAAACTATTAGGATCTTTAATTGAATGAACCAGCACTGGTGGATTATTGGGGCATAAATTATGCATCATGTCATTGTCAATACACGAAGTGTGTTCGTAGAAGTCAGCAAGGCAAAGCTACATGACAAATATTTGAACTCTAGGCATTAGTTTTTAAAATAAAACTGACAGGTGTTTTTTCATGCAAGACTACCGTATCTTAATAATCTAACAAAGTAACCCCGGGGCAGGGCCAATCTTGACCCAAGGGACAATATAAGTAATACCGGTTATTATGTGGTACACAGAGTGATGTATCATGCCATATATCTAAGCGCTGGAACATAAAATTATATAAATTATCTGACTCCTGGGTTTAGGCCAATGCTGAACCAAAGGGGATGATTCATATTAGTTTTGTTAAGGTAAATGACGTAATGATGCATGCTCAATATCTTTAGATTTTGTAGTTTAACACAATCAAACTTAAATGTATTTACTCATATAAATATCTCGTAAAGTGATCCATCGGAAGCACTTAAAATAGCTAACCTTTGCAAACTTGGTTTGATTAAGTCTGTACATGAGGGGTAATAAAAAGGTTCAACATCCCTCTAGTCCCCTAGTACCGGTTTGAGCGGTACTATATTCTCAACATTTAAAAATTGCTGGACTCAATTATCCCGAAAAACCAGAAAAAAATAACAACACTGAAGTGATATACGGGACAACTTAGTCTTTATAATAATGTACGTTTGAAATGGTGCTTACAATTGGATAATTGTGATGTTTATATAGCTTTATATACAAGGTTTCTTTATAAACTATAAAAGGTAGGGCAATTTGTTAAAGTATCTCATGATTAATTCTATAAATGATGCTTACTGTATTATAAATTCATTGTAAAAAATAATATGGCCGTATATAGATGGGTATTCAAAATATAACCTATGTCTTATATAGGGCCATATAACCTGTCAAAATTCTTAAAAAATAGTATAAATCAAGTTATTCAGATACGAAAATTTTAAAAATCATACAAATTGTGTGACCTTGGCCTGAGGAAGGCCAAACCTGCACTCTGCCTTACGTCTCATTATGTAATGGCATGAACACTATTGTAATCTTTAGTGCTGTTTATAATTAGATTCCCCTATATTTCTATTAGGTTGTGCAGATAATTAAACAGGTGCATGACAATATTTGGCAAAAAATGTTCAATTTTAAAGTGTCTGGCTGGCAGCGAGAGTTGGAGCAGACAACATGACTTTAGTCATAGCTTATTTTTCATTTTAAACGTTGAGTTAAAGCACACTTGACACTACCACTGTTTATATAAGGGCCTTAGATAATACAAGTAATGGAGTTGTTACTACAATTGCATTGAGAGCTGGTTAATAATCAAAAGTAACTTTACCTGTTCTGCAATTACTGTGAGAGTTCGCTTCATTTAACTGGTAAAATCCAACAGTACATGTACATTTGCTGTTAATACAATCAGCATTTGGATCTGAACATTTGTTAAATTCACCTCCTTGACAATTGCCAGCAAGTGCAACATCTGAAATAATATTATACATTGTATAAATGATAAATATAGATATAAAATCCGGTCTTACATTTTATGGTTGAACGGCATTCATGTTCATCGTAAATTACTCATAATGTTCATAGATAAATGCATTAACATTTACTCTACAGAAAAGGTATAACAAAGGCTTGCTCCCTTAATAAGAATGATAAATTGCATCAAACACGTCAAATAAAAACGATCCAAAATACACATCTATTGAAGTACCCTAAGTTAGGCTTATATCAAGTAGCTGCACTGTATTTAATGAGTTATTATCAAAAAGAGAAACAAAACGAACTAAGAAATAATGATTTAATTTGAAACTTTTTCCAAAATAGAAGAGTTGACTGTTGAATCGCGTAATGTAATTTTTCAAGGGCTTATCAATGAATTAAATGAACAACTTTCATGCAGCCATATGAAGTGTCTGGTATTAGAATGTTTTTATATCTACAAAATAAACAAACTTAATACGCATTGTTTAAACAGGTTATATGCATTTTAAATTATAACTGACGTTCTTCCTATCGGGTCATAAAATAGTATACAGTTTTTTTATTACATTTTGTAAAAACAGCTTGTAAATCTTCCTAGCTGAATTATTCATGTTAACCTTTTACCACATGAGCATATTGTGAAAAATGACCGTTTTCATTAAAAAGCCTCCTGTTACAAGTTAACTGCTATAAAACTATGAAAAATACTTTAATACTTATAAAACTTGGTACAAATGTTGACTGAACCATAATTGTTGCAATAACAGGCTCAATCTTAAATTTCCTGTTATCGTGGCAATGGGGGACGTCTCAAAATTGCGAAAAAATCACTATTATGCATTGTTTTTTCCATCAAAACTGATTTCAAAGTGCTGCAACTTCTCAATGCATTGAGATAGAGTAAAAGGCTTTTCAGCGTTGGTTTCACCAACCTGAAGCCATTTTAGCCTGTCACATGTCTAAAATTTTCTTCGCGATTAAGGGGAATGCCGCCCCATTTAAACCCCTCAAACAAAAGAGGGCCATTTTTAGCCTGTCACATGTTCAAAATTTTCTTGGATGAGGGGGACTGCCGCCCTTTTCAACCCCCCATCCCAAATAGAAGGGGGCACACCCCCTTCTGGCGACCCCCTGATGTATCATTTTGATGGGGGACCGCGCCGAAAAAGTGGTCACTTTTTTACAACATCAACATTTCACAAACGAAAAACAGAGTTTGGGGCCTAAATAGGCATTTTTTCACTGTTTGAGGCCTCAAAAGGGGGACAAAAAGCCGTCAAAACACGTCTATATGAGAGAAAAGGTTAACAAAAAATGATGAAAAACCTTGACATTACCAAAAATCTAGATTTTCCATGTTAGCACGTGGCCTTACACCTAGTTTCTGTGAGAAATTGTTGTTTTGTGGCATTTTTATATTTTTTAATTAACCTTTAACCACATGAACATATTGTAAAAAATGGCGATTTTCATTGAAAAGCCTCCTGTTACAAGTTCAAACTGCTATAAAACTATAAAAAAAATACTTCAATACTGATGAAATGTTGACTGTACCATAACTTTTGCATAACAGGCTCAATCTTAAATTTCCTGTTACCGTGGCAACGGCGGGACGTCTCAAAATTGCAAATAACACTATTTTGCATTGGTTTTTTCCCCATCAAATGTGATAATTTTTAGCCTGTCACATGTCAAAAATTTTCTTGGCGATGAGGGGGACTGTCGCCCCATTCAAACCCCTTAAACATAAGGGAGCCATTTTTAGCCTGTCACATGACCAAAACTTTCTTGACTTGACTGCCGCCCCCATTAAACCCCTCAAACAGAACGGGGCACATCCCACTTCTGGCCACCCTCTGATGTATCATTTTGATTGGGGACCGCGCCGAAAAAGTGGTCACTTTTTAAACAACATTTCTCAAACGAAAAACAGTGTTTGGGGCTTACTATGGCATTTTTTCACTGTTTGAGGCCTCAAGGGGGGGGGGGACAAAAAACCTTCAAAACAAGTCTATATGAGGGAAAAGGTTAATTTTATTTTAACATATTTTAAATTAAAGTCTTTTACTTTTTGCCGTTAATAAAAAATCCGTTTTCATTTTTATTTTACATTTCATGCTGGTACTACTAGCAACTACCACTTCCATCTATAGACAGGCTCAATCAAAACGACCCTGCGTAACAAAATTAATTTTGCCGTCTAGGGTGTTCTTTAGGAATTTTCTCTATTGTAGTATAGATCCTGCCCTGTAGTTATAAATCATAATGATACAGAAAACAGAAAAACTTAATATTCAAAATAGTGTTATCATTTCTTTACACATTGTTCATTTATTTTGATTAAATATAATACCGGGGGGGGGGTATTTGTCACTGAAAGTTTAATACAAACAAGAGGGTCAGGATGGCCCTAGATCGCTCACCTGACCCGTCGAACTCATGCGAGCAATTACTTTGACAAGCATCCTGACCGAGTTTTGTGAAAAATTGAGTCATAAATGTGACCATTAGAGAGTTAACAAGGTTTGATGTCATGTATGGGCGGTGTGACCTAGTCTTTGACCCCAGATGACTCATAGTCTAACTTGACCTAGAAATTATCAAAACAACTTACAGACCAATTTTAAGGACATTTGGATAAGAACAGAATCCACTAGAAAGTTAACAAGATTTTTCTACTTGAAGCTCCTGTGATCTAGTTTTTCATCAAAGATGATCTTTGTTCCAACTCATATGAGCAATTACCCGGACAAGCATCCTTACAAAGATTGACGTTGATTGGGGCAAAAATGTGACCACTAGGAAACAAATGAGGACGGACAACAGGCGACGGACGACGGATATTCAACGCTCCTAAAATGCTTTTATGTGGAAATTAAAACACATGAAAATAATTTCTTCCGTAAGTTTTGGCTGACACGCCCTCGTAGGTATTATACATATCATCATGAGTAATTTCCCATTTGTAGCATTTTTTACTAATTCGACGTACGGACGTTTTTTTACATGAACATAAAAGGGATATATTTTTCACAATTTAAGTTTGTGACTTTATCTTATTTATTTCGTTAAATTATGTCAGCAAATATCCTGGAAATTGGTCTGTAAGTTGTTTTGATAATTTCCAGGTCAAATTCGAATATGGTCACCTGGGATCAAAGACTAGGTCAAACCGTCCATATATGATAATTTTATGATATAATTAGTTCAGCAACCAATGTTGTACACGTATTTTAGGTAATTTAGGTATGATATTATCTCAACTAGATCATTTCGCTGCAAATGTTTTGTCCTGATTTCAAGCAAACAAGGAAATAAATTATCTCTATTGTTCTTATAGTTTTCATATTTTCATTTATCTCGAGGACATGGGACAGTATTCTGTCCCCACAAGACAAAACTTTGCTACAACATAAATATTAAAATATCACGATCAACAAACTTTTATACCGTGGCAATAAAATCAACTCTTTCCAACGACATAATATTGCAAGTATCTCAATACATCGATAATATCTCGATAAAGTGGCATAAATACCTCGTCCTCTCATTTATAGTCTCGTTATCAAAAATGTTTATCAGAACTCGTGGGATCAAGATACACTCATAGATACGCGATAATTATTTCGAAGAAACGAGAAATATCTTGAAGGGAATGATAATTTTAAGGTATATTTCTGGATTACCATTTTTATTTATCAAATATGTATTCGAGTATTATATTGATTCAATAAACAGCACACAGTCCATTAAAACCTCATCGCCGGCAGGACTACACAATTTTTTATGTAGAATTTAACAGCTTGCAGTCACTTCAAGTTATCACTCATCCATTTGTGAGAATAATTTTAACATCATTGCCTAGAGAGAACTGTTGTATAACTACCCGTACAAATAAATGTTCATCTCCTAGGAAAACTTACTTCGTTTGCAATAGTGAATATGCTATTGTTTTTTTACATCATATGACTTAGCTCAGAGTTGACTTCAAATTCAATTAAAATTTCTTTTTCTATATATTTTACTATTTCAAGCTATGATAACTTTATTACTTATTAACAGTTTGCTTTAATTGTAGCAACAGTGTGTGAACACTTATTTCAGTTTTGATGAGTTAATTTTCTACCAGTCTCTCAGAAATATTGAAAAAAATCAGTTTCCGTTGGTCCCCCCACCCACCCACTTCTGTTTATAGCAAACCTTGTCATTAAACGTATATGATATAAAATGATGAAGATTTTCGATCAAAATGAAAATCCCACGTAAAACATAAACATTTTTGATTTCAAAG